CACCCACCCTGGCCTCTCCGTTACCCACCTTCACCCTAAGCTCACCATTCCTCTCCCAGCACTGGGACAAGGGAGAGAGCAGGAAGCGGGGGGATCCCAGAGGAAGCAGCTATGACAGAAGGGACCCACCCAATCACACAGCAGAATTGGACTAGGTCTCCCACCCATGGAGCAGCACTCCTTCAAGGACGTGCTGCTTTGTCCATGGAGGAAAGTTAAGGGAGGGGCAAAGAGGTGATGAGACTGGAGCAAGTGTTGATGGGGGGACAGGGAAGAAACCAGGTCAATGGAAGAGTCAGAGCTCCTAAAAATGATCCCAGCCCTTCTCTGCAGCCTCTCCCTGATGACAACCCAGGCCCTACAAAGAGGGACCCATGAAAAGCTCACTCAGCCCTTCGAGAGCCTGGGTGGGGTGTCCCGGAGGTTCCCAGACAGAATCTTCCATTCAATAGCGGCTCATTACAGAGAGTCCAGCTGGTCAGCAGCATCCAGGGCCTCCAGCTGAATGTTCCCCAAAGAGCAGCTGGCACCTTTCGTGTCTGTGGCCTGGTCACATGGGTATTAACTCACTCAATATTCTCACCAAAATCCCGTGAAGTCCGACTCCCCTTAAACTTAACCAATAAAGGGGAAACTGGGTGAAACAAAGTCAGTGTCCACAGCCACACAGCTTGTAATTGCTGGACCAGGACTGGAACCCATGGGTCCTGACTCTGTCCTGTACTGACCCCTGTACTGTAGCTGTCTCCTCCCTGACCCCTCAGTGACTCTTCACCCCTGTGGCCCTCCTGCTCGTAACCCTCCGGGAAGGACGGGCAGGCTGGTGCTTAGCACCGCTTACTCCGACCACTGCCTGCAGGTGTGGCCGGTATCACCTGCCCCCGCTGCCTGGTCCTTGAAGACCCTCTGGGCATAAGGAGTCTTGGAGAATCAGCAGAGCTGTTCAGGATTTCCTAACGGGGCAGCACTTCGAGTGTGACATACCTGGCGGGTGGCAGAGGAACTGGGCACCAGAGCAGGCATCACACCCTGAGGGGGGCTCTTGGGGAGGCCCACCCTCCTCCCCAGGCTGCCTGGGAGGCCAGCCTTCAGTGTGCCCTTTGGCACTGCCCAGCTCAGAAATAACATGCTTTAAGCAAGGGATGTGCACCTGCAGAGAGGGTCCAGATGGTGGTTTTAAAGACCCTGCTCTTCCATCAGCTGAGAGGGAGGTACTTGGCATTCCACGCGATGACTACCTTTTAAATTGTCCAGGTGTGAGATACAGTGATATAAAAGAATCGTGATGTGCTTCCTTTTATGACAGATTTTACACCTTTTTAAAAATGAAGGAACCAGGGTCTGAAATGTGTTCTTAGGAAAATGGACACTGCAGTCTCATTTTCAAAGCACTTTTGCTAGACTAATGGCACTTGATCTTGGTTCCGGCAGGGTTTGTTAGGGTGAGCCAAGCTATGGGCAGGCCAGGATTCCCAGCAGGGGCTCTCGCTGGGCTCTGGAAAGGGTGCTGCCTGGACTCCGGATTCTAGAGAGTGACCCGGCGATCCCGGCAAGAGCAAGGTGTGGGCCTTCTGACCAGCAGGCAGGGAAACTCACCACCTTGTTTCTCCCTCTCAGGCAGGTAACGGGGCTGGGGCCAAGACTGGGGATATCCTCGACGTCCTAACTGAGTATCGAGGCCTGTCCTGGAGGTGAGTGAGGGTGTGGTAAGGTCCTGAAGACCCCTTCATGGCAGGGCTGGGAGGACCCCTGGACATCATAGAAAACCATTCCTCTAGCAGAGGGATGAGCCACCTAGTACCTTTCATGAGAAACTTCTGGGTTTACTTCAAGGAAGGTATTCATCAGCTTCCCCAGACCACTGTATTTCCCAAAACAGGAGCTGGGACCAGGAGGAGTTTGGGGGAGAAACTACATAAAACTTTGGACTGGAAAAGCTTGTCTAGCTTCCATTTCTCCCCGTCGGAAGTAATCTTGGAAGGAGCCGGTGTCCTTTGGAGCCAGAGTTGTGTCTGAACCCTGGCTGCCCAGTTCTGTGCAACTTTGGGCAAGTTTCTTAACCTCTCTGAGCTCGTCTCCTTATATCTGAAGTGGGGATAATAATACTGCGTAAGCAGTGTCGTGAGGACTAGGGAGAGTTTAAGCACCCCAGCACAGTGCCTGACACAAAGTAGGTATCAATGGCAGCTGGCATCATTATTAAAGGGCCTTTGGTTGAGAAAGCAAAGCTCAGAGAAGGCAAGTAACCTGTCCAAGATGCTAGAAAAGCAAGTCGTAGAGTAGGTGCTTGTTGACACCTAACCTGGTGGCTTCCCCCATTGCGTGTTGCTTCCTGCAGGCTTGTTCCTGCTCTGGCTGTTATCAAATCCCACGAGCAGGACCTGACCTCTGTGCTTTGAATGTGGAGAGGGCAGGTTTGGTGGCTCCTCGGCCTGGGATCTGGCCGCTCTGGCACCATCTCACTGTTGAATCCCTGGCCTTTTCCCTCGTGATGCTGCTGTACGGGATAAACCCCGGACGCTTTGAGAGCCTTTTAAATGTTCCCAGACGTACTTGGCAGAGAAAGAAGGAACACGGATAAGCAGGGAATCCAGTGAGCTCTGGAATGGTGCATGTTTCCAGCCTAGAAACCCATCCAGCTTTGAGTTCCTTGGAATTTTAGAAGTGGCTTGGAAGATGGGCTGCTCTAGAGGGCACCCCTGGGGAATAGGTTTGTCCAGGCCCAAGAGGAACAGCAAGGGCAACCGTTTTCACTGTGTCTTCAGCGTATTAATAATAGCAGCGCACAGCTGGGGCAGGGCTGCACCCTGCATGAAGGAAGGTCACTTTCCTTTGGAAGTTGGGGGGAAGGGGGCCCACTTGGATCCCTGCCCCAAATCAACCAAGTCAGCCATGACCATTTCTTGTTTGGATGTTCAGGTTTGTGGGGAAAGGGGAGAGGAGTTGCTGTATTCCGGTTTGTTTTTCAAGGTTTTTTCATTTTGTTTTTTACTGAAATAATAAATAAAAGGCAGGGTCAAGCCCCCAGGATGTTTCTCGAAGGGAGAAAGGTCAGTCTTGGTAGTGTCTGAGGTGTTTTGGTGTCGCAGGCATTTTCAACCTTCATTTTGTTTGTTTGTTTGTGTTTGTTTTGTTTCCACAACACAGCATTGGCGGCGATGAGGATCTCAGCTCTGTCATCACCCTGCCCAGTGAGTACACACTCCCTGGGGCTGGGCCGGCTCGCAGTCACCCCGCGCGTTTCTGCAGCACCCCCTGGCGGCGGCCACGGGCTTGTCAGGGAACCTCGCGGCAGGAGGCAGCCGCATTCGGCAGGGGGCGCTGCTTCCCAGATGTGGTCGCCCTGCTTTGCTTCTTGAGAGTGATAAAAGCCTGGGAGATATTTTTTCTTTTTTGAGAAATTGTATTTGTCCAAGAAAGAGAGTAAGAGAGAAAAAGAGGTCTCAAGCCAAATCTTAGTGCAAGTCATTATTAAGAAATGATTCAAGAAAAAAGGAAAGGAAACCGTCTCTGTGATGCCTGTCATTCTGAGCAGCACCTTACTGAGAGGCATTGATCTAGGCTTGGGCAGCATTAAGCACCACTGCGTACAAAGACATTGACTTCCTGGGTGTCGCTTTAGGAAACGTGTCATTGCAACAGTAAAGAAGTTATCTTTGTTCAGGCTGTGCAAACACAGTCGTATTTGGAGCTTGAAGTTTTCTTTAAATTATTTCACTGACAAGGATTTTTAAAGCCTGACTAGATTCTCTGAAAACCTTGTCTTAAAATGGAATTCTTTCCCCTTAAAATATTACAGCTAATAATTATACCTGAAAGGAATTTCACTGATCCCATTCTCATGTACTCTTCTTGTAATATACCCCTTTGTAACATATCTTTAGAAGCTAGGAAGTTATTTGAGCTCTCACTAAGAATTTGGGGATAGGGATTGCTTAATCTCCGCACAGGCAGAGCTGATTGGATTTCGTATTTGTTACCTGTTTTTGCTATTTGCAAATCCTGTTGAATTTAAGTAGGTACAGTTCTGTGGCACAAGTAGTCCCTGTCTTCTTTATTCTAGGTCTACACACAAGAGCTATAAATACGCTCCCCTCTTGCTAGGAGATAGTTTGGGTTGCTTTTATAAGTGTGATTGATTGGCTGTGAGCTGGCCTGGCCTATACAATAGCTTGCTGAGCTCTCTGATTCCCACACTATTATCATGAGTAACAAATGAAAATCAACAGGCTCAAGAGCTTTCACCAAAGTGACTTGCAAAGGACTGAGACAGTGTCACCCCTCAGGTGGACCCTCCTGACACACTTAGTCTTTTCAATAAATGGTACTGGGACAACTGGATAACTGCATGCAAAAGATGAAGTTGGACCCCTACCTCACACCATACACAAGAATTAACTCAAAATGAAACATAGACCTAAATGTAAGAGATAAAACTAACTCTTAGGATAAAATAAAGGAGCAAATCTTCATGATCCTAGGTTAAACAAAGCCTTCTTAGATATGACACCAAAAGTGCAAGTGACAAAATAAAAAAATAGATATATTGGACAAAATTAAATACTTTTGTGTTTCAAAGAAAAAAGACAACCCAAAGACTGGGAGGAAATATTTGCAAGTTATATATTTGATAAGAAACTTGTATCTAGAAAATATAGAGAACTCTCATAACTCAGCAACAAAAAGATGATCCAATTAAAAATGAGCAAAGGCGACACTATGAATGTATTTAATACCACTGAACTGTACACTTTTAAATGGTTAAGATGATAAATTTTATTAAGTGTATTTTACTACAATTTTTAAAAAATATGTTTTTATTGATTTCAGAGAGAGGAAGGGAGAGGGGGAGAGAGAGATAGAAACATCAGTGATGAGAGAGTCATTGATTGGCTGCCTCCTGCACGCCACCCCCCCAACTGGGGATTGAACCCACAACCCGGAGCCCACAACTCGATGCCCTGACTGGGAATCGAACAGAGATCTCCTGGATCATACGTTGATGCTCAACCTCTGAGCCAGCTACAATTTTTTTAAATGGGCAAAGTATTTTAATCAACATTTCTCAAAAAAAGGTATACAAGTGGCCAATAAGCACCTGAAAAAATACTCAATATCAGCGACTGTTAATGCAAATCAAACCACATGAGATACCATTTCACGTCCTCTAGAATGGTTATAATGAAAAGACAACAAATAATAAGTATTAGGATATGCAGAAATTGAAACCCTCATATGCTGCTGTTGGGAACATAAAATGGTACAGCTGCATTGGAAAAAGCTCTATAAGTTCCTCAAAGGTTAAACAGATGATCCAGCAATTCTACTCCTAGGTGTACACCCAAGAAAAATCCATGCAAAACTTGTACATAAATGTTTATACCTACATTAGTTATAATAGCCAAAAAAATGGGAAGAATCCAGATGTCCTTCAACTGATGAATAGATAAATAAAATGTGGTCTCTCTGTACCATGAGTATTATTTGGCCATAAAAAAGTGTGAAGTACTGGCACATGCTAGAACATGGGTGGACATTGAAAACATTATGCTAACTGAAAGAAGACAGCCACAAAAGACATACTGTATTGTATGATTCCTTTGATATGAAATGCCCAAAATAAGTATATTTAGAGAAAATAAATTAAGGGTTGCCATGGGGTGGAGGGAATGGAGAGAGTGGCTAGAACAGGGTCTCACTTTGGGGTAATGAAAATGTTCTAAAGTTAATTATGGTGATGGATGCACAACTCTGTGACTATACTAAAGCTATTGAACGGTATACTTTAAAATGGTGAATTTTATGGTACATGAATTTTCTCAATGAAATTATTCTATATTTAGGAGGGGAAAGGAAAATGCATGAGAGGAGCACTACTCAGACTCACATTTATTCAACAATAATTCATTAAGTACCTGGTATGCTGTCCAGGCGGTTACGCATCAGCCTGCTGGACAGTCTTTCTATGCTGGGGGGAGAGTTAGGGGAAGGGCTGTGGGTGGGGGCTCTGCTTGGTCCTGAAGACCCTCTGGTGCTTATTAAAGGAATTTGAACATTGCTTTGGGGTATAGTAAGCATGTCTCTTCCTGTATTTCCAGACATCCTCCGGGAATTCAACCCTTCCCTGAAGGGCTTCTCTGTTGGCACCGGGAAACAAAACAGTGCTGGTGCCTTCTTCAACCAGGCTGTCTCCGGAGCCCAATCTAGGTGAGCAGGGGAGCCCCAGGGGAACGGCACAGGTCCTCTGGGGACCTGGTTGAGGGCTTGGCCTAGACTGGGACGTATGGCTGAGGGCTGGGGGGTTTGGTCCAAGGGGAGGGTCTAAGGGTCAAAGACTGGACTAGATGGGCTCTCTTGGGGGTTTCCCTTGCTGTGGGACACAGAAAGCTGCTAGCCCACCCCCAACTCCACCGCAGGAACTAGTCACAGTTGACTCTGGTGCCAGGTATATGCTTTGAGCAAATTACCTTTTTTTGTCTGTGAATGTCATGCCAACATAAGACAGTTGCCAGAAGAGGGCTCACTCTGAGACTCGGTTTTTATTGTCTTGTTAATCTCTATCTTTCGTGTCCTCTTCTCTGTCCCTTCCTCAGACATGCTTTACAGGCAGCTTTTTCAGGCTCTAGACTTTGCATCCTTCCTGGATCATGGGAAGAGCAGTAGTCCCTGAGTCTGAGTCCTGACTCCCCCGCTCCCTGGCCTCTCTAAGCCTTAGCCTCTGAGAGATGGGCTGGCTGTGAACCTTCCCGGGGGTGAAAGGCTACTACCAATTTCCTGCTTTCAGTGTTTGGTTTACTGTAATATTACATAATTTTGCTTTTTTCCAAGCACATGTCAGCCGGTGGTGTAAGAGGAGAGGCAGTTCTAAGCATGACTAGGTCAGGAAGGCATCCTGGAATGAAACCTTAGTCATAAAAGTAACCAAAAAGGAGTATGATTCATATGGTCCTGGATTTCTTCCTTGCTTTCCCTGAGGCCTCAGGGCTCTTTCGTGAAAGTAATTCATTTGTCCAAGCACATCCTGAGTTGTAGGGAAGGGTTAAAGATTATTATTCCCATATCACAGGAACTGTAGCACAGAGAGGCAAAGTGGCCTGAACAGATGTGTCAGCTCAACCACGTGTCTGTTGGCTTTGTGCCCTGCAGGCTTTCTCCCAAGTTCCATAATAACCCCTCATACATGTACCTTTGTTTCTATTAATTCCTTGTGTTCCTTACAGTAACTGGGAGATGGGCAAAGCAGACGGTCAGATACCCATGTTTTCTGTTTTCCTTTTCTCTTTCTTTCTTTCTTTCTTTCTTTCCTTCTTTCTTTCTTTCTTTCTTTCNTCAGGCAGGTAACGGGGCTGGGGCCAAGACTGGGGATATCCTCGACGTCCTAACTGAGTATCGAGGCCTGTCCTGGAGGTGAGTGAGGGTGTGGTAAGGTCCTGAAGACCCCTTCATGGCAGGGCTGGGAGGACCCCTGGACATCATAGAAAACCATTCCTCTAGCAGAGGGATGAGCCACCTAGTACCTTTCATGAGAAACTTCTGGGTTTACTTCAAGGAAGGTATTCATCAGCTTCCCCAGACCACTGTATTTCCCAAAACAGGAGCTGGGACCAGGAGGAGTTTGGGGGAGAAACTACATAAAACTTTGGACTGGAAAAGCTTGTCTAGCTTCCATTTCTCCCCGTCGGAAGTAATCTTGGAAGGAGCCGGTGTCCTTTGGAGCCAGAGTTGTGTCTGAACCCTGGCTGCCCAGTTCTGTGCAACTTTGGGCAAGTTTCTTAACCTCTCTGAGCTCGTCTCCTTATATCTGAAGTGGGGATAATAATACTGCGTAAGCAGTGTCGTGAGGACTAGGGAGAGTTTAAGCACCCCAGCACAGTGCCTGACACAAAGTAGGTATCAATGGCAGCTGGCATCATTATTAAAGGGCCTTTGGTTGAGAAAGCAAAGCTCAGAGAAGGCAAGTAACCTGTCCAAGATGCTAGAAAAGCAAGTCGTAGAGTAGGTGCTTGTTGACACCTAACCTGGTGGCTTCCCCCATTGCGTGTTGCTTCCTGCAGGCTTGTTCCTGCTCTGGCTGTTATCAAATCCCACGAGCAGGACCTGACCTCTGTGCTTTGAATGTGGAGAGGGCAGGTTTGGTGGCTCCTCGGCCTGGGATCTGGCCGCTCTGGCACCATCTCACTGTTGAATCCCTGGCCTTTTCCCTCGTGATGCTGCTGTACGGGATAAACCCCGGACGCTTTGAGAGCCTTTTAAATGTTCCCAGACGTACTTGGCAGAGAAAGAAGGAACACGGATAAGCAGGGAATCCAGTGAGCTCTGGAATGGTGCATGTTTCCAGCCTAGAAACCCATCCAGCTTTGAGTTCCTTGGAATTTTAGAAGTGGCTTGGAAGATGGGCTGCTCTAGAGGGCACCCCTGGGGAATAGGTTTGTCCAGGCCCAAGAGGAACAGCAAGGGCAACCGTTTTCACTGTGTCTTCAGCGTATTAATAATAGCAGCGCACAGCTGGGGCAGGGCTGCACCCTGCATGAAGGAAGGTCACTTTCCTTTGGAAGTTGGGGGGAAGGGGGCCCACTTGGATCCCTGCCCCAAATCAACCAAGTCAGCCATGACCATTTCTTGTTTGGATGTTCAGGTTTGTGGGGAAAGGGGAGAGGAGTTGCTGTATTCCGGTTTGTTTTTCAAGGTTTTTTCATTTTGTTTTTTACTGAAATAATAAATAAAAGGCAGGGTCAAGCCCCCAGGATGTTTCTCGAAGGGAGAAAGGTCAGTCTTGGTAGTGTCTGAGGTGTTTTGGTGTCGCAGGCATTTTCAACCTTCATTTTGTTTGTTTGTTTGTGTTTGTTTTGTTTCCACAACACAGCATTGGCGGCGATGAGGATCTCAGCTCTGTCATCACCCTGCCCAGTGAGTACACACTCCCTGGGGCTGGGCCGGCTCGCAGTCACCCCGCGCGTTTCTGCAGCACCCCCTGGCGGCGGCCACGGGCTTGTCAGGGAACCTCGCGGCAGGAGGCAGCCGCATTCGGCAGGGGGCGCTGCTTCCCAGATGTGGTCGCCCTGCTTTGCTTCTTGAGAGTGATAAAAGCCTGGGAGATATTTTTTCTTTTTTGAGAAATTGTATTTGTCCAAGAAAGAGAGTAAGAGAGAAAAAGAGGTCTCAAGCCAAATCTTAGTGCAAGTCATTATTAAGAAATGATTCAAGAAAAAAGGAAAGGAAACCGTCTCTGTGATGCCTGTCATTCTGAGCAGCACCTTACTGAGAGGCATTGATCTAGGCTTGGGCAGCATTAAGCACCACTGCGTACAAAGACATTGACTTCCTGGGTGTCGCTTTAGGAAACGTGTCATTGCAACAGTAAAGAAGTTATCTTTGTTCAGGCTGTGCAAACACAGTCGTATTTGGAGCTTGAAGTTTTCTTTAAATTATTTCACTGACAAGGATTTTTAAAGCCTGACTAGATTCTCTGAAAACCTTGTCTTAAAATGGAATTCTTTCCCCTTAAAATATTACAGCTAATAATTATACCTGAAAGGAATTTCACTGATCCCATTCTCATGTACTCTTCTTGTAATATACCCCTTTGTAACATATCTTTAGAAGCTAGGAAGTTATTTGAGCTCTCACTAAGAATTTGGGGATAGGGATTGCTTAATCTCCGCACAGGCAGAGCTGATTGGATTTCGTATTTGTTACCTGTTTTTGCTATTTGCAAATCCTGTTGAATTTAAGTAGGTACAGTTCTGTGGCACAAGTAGTCCCTGTCTTCTTTATTCTAGGTCTACACACAAGAGCTATAAATACGCTCCCCTCTTGCTAGGAGATAGTTTGGGTTGCTTTTATAAGTGTGATTGATTGGCTGTGAGCTGGCCTGGCCTATACAATAGCTTGCTGAGCTCTCTGATTCCCACACTATTATCATGAGTAACAAATGAAAATCAACAGGCTCAAGAGCTTTCACCAAAGTGACTTGCAAAGGACTGAGACAGTGTCACCCCTCAGGTGGACCCTCCTGACACACTTAGTCTTTTCAATAAATGGTACTGGGACAACTGGATAACTGCATGCAAAAGATGAAGTTGGACCCCTACCTCACACCATACACAAGAATTAACTCAAAATGAAACATAGACCTAAATGTAAGAGATAAAACTAACTCTTAGGATAAAATAAAGGAGCAAATCTTCATGATCCTAGGTTAAACAAAGCCTTCTTAGATATGACACCAAAAGTGCAAGTGACAAAATAAAAAAATAGATATATTGGACAAAATTAAATACTTTTGTGTTTCAAAGAAAAAAGACAACCCAAAGACTGGGAGGAAATATTTGCAAGTTATATATTTGATAAGAAACTTGTATCTAGAAAATATAGAGAACTCTCATAACTCAGCAACAAAAAGATGATCCAATTAAAAATGAGCAAAGGCGACACTATGAATGTATTTAATACCACTGAACTGTACACTTTTAAATGGTTAAGATGATAAATTTTATTAAGTGTATTTTACTACAATTTTTAAAAAATATGTTTTTATTGATTTCAGAGAGAGGAAGGGAGAGGGGGAGAGAGAGATAGAAACATCAGTGATGAGAGAGTCATTGATTGGCTGCCTCCTGCACGCCACCCCCCCAACTGGGGATTGAACCCACAACCCGGAGCCCACAACTCGATGCCCTGACTGGGAATCGAACAGAGATCTCCTGGATCATACGTTGATGCTCAACCTCTGAGCCAGCTACAATTTTTTTAAATGGGCAAAGTATTTTAATCAACATTTCTCAAAAAAAGGTATACAAGTGGCCAATAAGCACCTGAAAAAATACTCAATATCAGCGACTGTTAATGCAAATCAAACCACATGAGATACCATTTCACGTCCTCTAGAATGGTTATAATGAAAAGACAACAAATAATAAGTATTAGGATATGCAGAAATTGAAACCCTCATATGCTGCTGTTGGGAACATAAAATGGTACAGCTGCATTGGAAAAAGCTCTATAAGTTCCTCAAAGGTTAAACAGATGATCCAGCAATTCTACTCCTAGGTGTACACCCAAGAAAAATCCATGCAAAACTTGTACATAAATGTTTATACCTACATTAGTTATAATAGCCAAAAAAATGGGAAGAATCCAGATGTCCTTCAACTGATGAATAGATAAATAAAATGTGGTCTCTCTGTACCATGAGTATTATTTGGCCATAAAAAAGTGTGAAGTACTGGCACATGCTAGAACATGGGTGGACATTGAAAACATTATGCTAACTGAAAGAAGACAGCCACAAAAGACATACTGTATTGTATGATTCCTTTGATATGAAATGCCCAAAATAAGTATATTTAGAGAAAATAAATTAAGGGTTGCCATGGGGTGGAGGGAATGGAGAGAGTGGCTAGAACAGGGTCTCACTTTGGGGTAATGAAAATGTTCTAAAGTTAATTATGGTGATGGATGCACAACTCTGTGACTATACTAAAGCTATTGAACGGTATACTTTAAAATGGTGAATTTTATGGTACATGAATTTTCTCAATGAAATTATTCTATATTTAGGAGGGGAAAGGAAAATGCATGAGAGGAGCACTACTCAGACTCACATTTATTCAACAATAATTCATTAAGTACCTGGTATGCTGTCCAGGCGGTTACGCATCAGCCTGCTGGACAGTCTTTCTATGCTGGGGGGAGAGTTAGGGGAAGGGCTGTGGGTGGGGGCTCTGCTTGGTCCTGAAGACCCTCTGGTGCTTATTAAAGGAATTTGAACATTGCTTTGGGGTATAGTAAGCATGTCTCTTCCTGTATTTCCAGACATCCTCCGGGAATTCAACCCTTCCCTGAAGGGCTTCTCTGTTGGCACCGGGAAACAAAACAGTGCTGGTGCCTTCTTCAACCAGGCTGTCTCCGGAGCCCAATCTAGGTGAGCAGGGGAGCCCCAGGGGAACGGCACAGGTCCTCTGGGGACCTGGTTGAGGGCTTGGCCTAGACTGGGACGTATGGCTGAGGGCTGGGGGGTTTGGTCCAAGGGGAGGGTCTAAGGGTCAAAGACTGGACTAGATGGGCTCTCTTGGGGGTTTCCCTTGCTGTGGGACACAGAAAGCTGCTAGCCCACCCCCAACTCCACCGCAGGAACTAGTCACAGTTGACTCTGGTGCCAGGTATATGCTTTGAGCAAATTACCTTTTTTTGTCTGTGAATGTCATGCCAACATAAGACAGTTGCCAGAAGAGGGCTCACTCTGAGACTCGGTTTTTATTGTCTTGTTAATCTCTATCTTTCGTGTCCTCTTCTCTGTCCCTTCCTCAGACATGCTTTACAGGCAGCTTTTTCAGGCTCTAGACTTTGCATCCTTCCTGGATCATGGGAAGAGCAGTAGTCCCTGAGTCTGAGTCCTGACTCCCCCGCTCCCTGGCCTCTCTAAGCCTTAGCCTCTGAGAGATGGGCTGGCTGTGAACCTTCCCGGGGGTGAAAGGCTACTACCAATTTCCTGCTTTCAGTGTTTGGTTTACTGTAATATTACATAATTTTGCTTTTTTCCAAGCACATGTCAGCCGGTGGTGTAAGAGGAGAGGCAGTTCTAAGCATGACTAGGTCAGGAAGGCATCCTGGAATGAAACCTTAGTCATAAAAGTAACCAAAAAGGAGTATGATTCATATGGTCCTGGATTTCTTCCTTGCTTTCCCTGAGGCCTCAGGGCTCTTTCGTGAAAGTAATTCATTTGTCCAAGCACATCCTGAGTTGTAGGGAAGGGTTAAAGATTATTATTCCCATATCACAGGAACTGTAGCACAGAGAGGCAAAGTGGCCTGAACAGATGTGTCAGCTCAACCACGTGTCTGTTGGCTTTGTGCCCTGCAGGCTTTCTCCCAAGTTCCATAATAACCCCTCATACATGTACCTTTGTTTCTATTAATTCCTTGTGTTCCTTACAGTAACTGGGAGATGGGCAAAGCAGACGGTCAGATACCCATGTTTTCTGTTTTCCTTTTCTCTTTCTTTCTTTCTTTCTTTCTTTCCTTCTTTCTTTCTTTCTTTCTTTC